AGAAAAGGGCTTTTAGAGCTTTAGAAAACTTCACAGGAAAGTGATCATTACTCTGAATGACTTCTTCTCTTAGGTTTTAGTCTGTAGTTGAGGCAGCCTCTGTCCTAGGGTGAAAATACCTCTCTACTAAGCTGATGTTTTTATGGGCAAATGGTAGTGCTAGTGGCTGAGTAAGGGCCTGACCTCACTTTGCAATAATGACGTTCTGTAATTGCATACGCAGACTGTGCTGCCATCTCCTTCCAGAGCCCTTGAGCCTTCTACCTGCAGAAAAGGACTTTTTCCTGTACTGCTTGCTCTAATATATATATATATATAGTGTAGATAGTAAATATTTTGGGGAATACAGAGCTACTGCAGACTCAGCTGGTGCACCTCCAAACCAGGAGGGATGGCAGCTGCATTGCTGTAGCCATGGCTATATGGCTGGCTCTGTGTTCTCCACCTCACCTGGCCTGACCTACACCTCCCGAGCCAGAAGAGCCAGTATATCTGCAGGTCCCAGAGGTGGATGCCTCAGGCTCTTCTTGATGCCTGATTATATGTAAAAGCCATTACAGGAGACAGGAGCTCTTGTGTGAGCACTTGCCCACAGACAGAAGTTCAACTCAGGCTTGTAATTTAGAAATAGTTCTGCACCACTCTACCACAGGTTGACACTCGCAAGGCCAAGAGGGAATTTTATAGCAGCTTAAACTGATCAATATCTAGGCTGCTGCAGGTCTGCCCTTTTCACCCTAGTCTGCACATTGCCTTATTTTCAGAAGTGTGTTATCTCCAGAACATGGATTTCTTAGTAGCACCCAGTAAGCACTCGGTAATCTGAGCTTTGAGCATTTCCTTTAGGAGGCAAATGTGAATACAAATTAGTGTATTTTTGATGTTATATATTTTTCAAAGAATCAACTCATGTTCCTCCACAAAACAGAAAGGAAAATGTTCTCACATTCTCCATATTCTAAACCTTCCTGCAATTAGTGCTTTACCCAAAAGCTCTGTCTGCTATTTCTCCAGGCTTTACTACAGGTATATCTTCTGTGTTTTTGATGTTCTTCACTGGCTATTCTGCATGCTTCTAAGGTGTTTTTACTGCTTCTGTCAATCCATAGCTCTTCAAAGCAACATATTCGGATTCCACTCACGTAATTAATTCAAATACTAACGTGGACCTGGCAGTTTTTAGCTTTTTGCATGTGTCAGCAGGTCAAGCAGAGAAGAAAAGCCTACTGTTAAACCTCAGTTGCTACCGCCTACTTGTGTTAAGCTTACAACTGTCATATCCACACATAATTGCCATATATTAACTAGTGAAGACAAGACCACTCAGCCAGATAACATAGAGATAAATTCAGCTCTCTGTTACATAACTATAAACTCAAGGTAAACCTGTGATGTTATTCTTCCATTTTCTGGAGCAAAGCAGAAACCACGTTTCTTCATAGGAATCCTGTCCTTCCATTTGTTGTTTCTGCCTGTTTGCTCTGCTGTGTGATGTTCTGTCACGAGCAGATGGTGATACCTCTGATTATTGATGGGATCTGCTCTATTACTGATCTGTCTGAAATATCTTTGTTCTCTGGAAAATTGTTTCCCTTGATCCATCCCTAACTTTGGTGCTTACTGAAGTTTATGAATAAAAATATCTGGGTAGTTGCCACTGGTGATGCCATTTGCCACTGGAGGAGGTGGGTCCCTCTGTCTCTCATGTAAGCACAGTGATGAAACTGAGAACAGCCGCTGGCATCGTGTCTGCATTCTCACCACAGAGCTCTGATCCCGACAGCTGATGTGCTGCTGACAACTTTATTCCTGTAACTGGGAGCCAAAAGTAGAAGTTTGATCTAGTGGCATCTCTTCAGCTGAAACAGCTTCCTTTAAACCTTTTATGTATTCTGATTTTTCTGTTATTATTTCTATTAAATGCTGCATCTTAAAACATGCAGGAGCTGTCAGACAGTGTCTAAGCCAGGAGATCCCCAAATGCCAGAAACAGCAAGGCCTGGTTTCCTAAATGTTTGTGTTTCGTGGCTGCCTGAGCTCTGCTCAGAGCTTTACTCGTGGCTGGAACATGTGTGGTTTCTTCATGGCTGGGGAATTCTGTGTGAATAGGCTTTTGTCATAACATAAGAACTTGCACTACAGCCTTTTCACTGAAGGAGACAGGAGGAGGGCACTTGAATGATCTTTCTCTTGTCCACAGCCATCTATTTTCACAGAAAATCGGCAGGATCTTCCTTATGTTTGAAAACTCCCTGTTCTTTTTTCAAATTTGACGAAATTTGAAAGAAGGGAAAAACAGACAGATGGTGTTAAACATTAGCTAGGGGGTTTTTTTAGCAGGTCAAGCTAAAAAGGAAAGGGACAAAGTCAGTTTTTTCCTGCTACACTTTCCTATGTAAATCAATCTTTTCAAAGTTGTCATGGCAGAACTGTGGCACTAGCAGTAGTGAGGGGACATCACTCTGCAGAGCATTGCTGAGCTTTACCTGCTGCTGCCTTTGTAACTGCCTGCTCGTCTTCCCCATCTCCCGATCCTCATGGATGCCTCTTATTTGGAGGAGGCTGTGAGGAGTCGAGGGCCAGGGACAGCTAGGCAGGGAAGAGAACACCATGTGTAGTAGAGCTGCAGCTACCTACAAAGAGGCAAGTTTATAAGTGGATCCACTTGGTTTGTACAAGATGTGGGCAAACAATATTGAATGCACCAGAAATAGGTATACTCTTTGTATTTGCACAGTATTTGTGCTCTTTACTATCTCATCTGTTGCATGAAGCAAGAGTGGGGTGGAGGAAGCAAGCATTTGGCCTTAAAAAAGAAAGTAGACAGTAGACAGCAAACAATTAGTTTGTGATATAGAATACACGTTGTCTTTTAAGTCCATAAATGACCATCTTTTCAGGTGAAGGAAAGCCTCCAATGCTGTCAGTAGTATTAGTTCCTACAAACTAGCTGTGATTTGGTAGATACAGGACAACCTACAACCTGCAGTGCAGTACACGGCAGTATATAATGTTCAAGTGACACTGCTTTTATAGCCCTATATTTGGAAAAAAATTAAAAGCCCATTCCTAGAATTATGTCTTGCCAGGGAAAGACGAGAGTGGAAAGTGAGGAAAGTACCAAGCATGGCTCTCCTTAAGGAGAGGCAATATTTCATACTCTTGACCACTTACCGATTCATGTTTTTTCAAACCTCAGCCACATAATCCCGCACTCTGACTGCCCGTACAGAATTTTTGTATTCAGAAAGAGAAAGAAGATGCAATTATCTGGGAACTTTTATCAGTGCTATTTCTCAAATCAGCCTGAACAAAGATCACTTTCCGTGGTGTCATCTCCATGTTGCACTACCCAGCCTGTCTCAGAAGTGGCACCTGTAGAGGGGGCAGAAGTCACGAACGAGCTCTGGAAGTGCTGACCTGCCCCAGCAGCACAAGGCAGTGCCATGGTGCTGGCCACCGATGCTTCTTTTTGTCAAGCCTCTTTACGCCTCAGGTATGAAATGAGGATTAGAGAATCTGCGCATATTGGTTTTTGGGTTCTGTGGAGACGAACAAAAGGAAATTCACACTCTGATCCTTATGCAAAAAAAAAGGGGAAACATTCTTTTGGTTTTGGAACATAAAGATCATGCAAAAAGTGTGTGACTAAAGCCCTTAGTAGTTTTCTATGGCATATATGAATATTTATAACATTTAGAAAGCTGAGTTTGGAAAGGATTGGAAAATAATGTGCTGGCCTGCTGCCACTATTCCAGACTGTGTAAAACTTGAAAGGCTATTGTTGTGTATGTGTAGCATGCTGGTAGTAGCGGTTGTTTATTATATTATGCAGTTGATTCTGTTTCAGAAAGATCCAAATTTAGGTTTGCATGGCTTTTTGATAATGGTCTTTCTTAGCACAGTGAGTAAACAGAGGCCAATTTTTCCAGGCGTTAACTAGAGGTAATCCTCTATTTGAAGAAAAATTGTATGGAGCTGGTAATTAAACTTCCATCTGAACACTTTTTCTCTACGTGTTTCTAGTTTTCTTGAATCAAAAAAAGGCAATTCAACTTATCTACAAGATTCAGGAAGAGAAATTCACTTTCACTTCATATGCTGTTTTTCTGTTCAATTTGCACTTTTGAAAGAGTAGATCTTTTGAGTTTACATTAGACAGGAACTCTTCAAGAATACATAATGCAGCAGAATCTCCCCATTGGGTTGTGATGGTGTCTCCTGGCCACAATTTTCTCCATTTATTCTGCTATAACACCCACTTCGTCATTTCTTTGTGTTTTGTCATTGCCAGGATGCTTCTGAATGCACAGATTGAATGGGATTATCCTCAGGAATAGGCAAAGTAACTCCTTAAAATGAAGCCTTTAAGCCAATTGAAAGAAGCCAGGCAATTCAGTCTTTTACCAGAAGTCAGACAACTTCATTGTCACTGTGGTTTTCCTTGACTGGAATGGCCCATATAATGAGAAAATCAGAAATAGTTTTTAAAAACTTCTGTCTCTCAGTACCATACAGCATTACAGTACTTACTCTGAATGCTGTGCTTTTCCTTTTTTTTTTTCAGAAGAAATTCCCCACATAAAGGAAAAAAAAAGAGAAAAATTATTACATGGAGCACACTCTTTTGGATAAATCTAAGTTTTCACGTAAGAAGCTTAATACTAAACTAATCAAACACTGAGCATACAGTCTAGCTCCAAAAATCATTATGAAATGAGGCTTCAAAATCAAAATATTTACAGATATGAAAAATTAGGGAGCGTATTAACAATCCATCTAGAAAGCACACCAAGCATCACTAGCTTTCTTCATAAAAAAAGAGGTGTCCTTAGCAAATCTTCCTTTGAACACTCTTGAAACTTCATCAGACAGGCTGGTCCAGTTCAACTTCATGGTCTGTCCTTGAAATAGTTATTTTAGGGGAGTACTTTTTGAAATGGTAAAAATCGAAATACCAGCATCACATAGCAGCCAAATATGAATCCATAGAGTTATGAAGCATTCATATTTAGGCATTAATGTTGGATTTATTTTCATTTTTGATTGTGTTAGACCTGAATAACCAACACGGTAACATGCAGTGTGTTCTGTCACAATCCAGTATTAAAATGGGTGCTTATCTTGGAATATTCAAGAGGTTCCATTGAAGTCCATGGGCCTTATTCACCTGCTTAATGCTAAGCATATATGGGAATGTTTGGAAGGCAAGTGCCTTAGAAAATCTGCCTAGCAGTAACGGCCTGAAGAGGTATGAAAATTAACATAGAATAGAAATTATTCTTACTTTAAATCTACTTATTTTCTACATGTAAATACATATGATTTTAGTAACAATATAAACAGACACATATACAAATGTAGATCTTTTGGGAACTTGTGGTTTAGAATTAAAATATTTTAGGTCAATTTCAGAATAGCTACATTTAATTTGATTATGCAATGTGTAATCCACAAAAAAAAATAGTATGTGCTGTATTGTATGTGTTCTTAACACCGACTGCCAGCCATACATGTTTTCGTATGTTTGGCGGTGCACTAAAATGTATAGATTATTCAGTATGTGTGTAAGGAATGTTTTACATTGGATGCTTCCTGCTTCTGGAATGACAGATTTAACAAAGGTATTATGATGTTGTTTTCATGTAAGATTACAATTGTGTATTAATTTTGAGGAGTATGTGCCCTAAGTTTTACTGTTTACTAGTAAGAAATATATCATTCCAGTGTGTGAGGGCTTATGACTAGCTTCTTAATGTCACACAAAATTTCAAGAAGGTGTGAAGCAGCCTGGTGAGAGTGTGCTGTGTTAAAGGAGGTAACCGTGTTGCAATTGTTGGACCATGTTAAAGTGCTGAGACAAATGTTAGACTCTAATTAGGGATAGCACTTCACTCCTCTGCTTTTTCTTAATCTAAGCAAAAGAAACCGAAACAGATGTTGTCCTTATAACAGTGACTGAATCAAATTATCTAGCTAAAGAATTAAGTTTTACTGCTGAAGTTTCAGTTTATTTGATATTATGCGGAACAACTGATTTCGCCCCCACACCAATGGGTGTATTACCTGTGTGATGCTAATTCCACAATACAGTTAAAATTCTGCAGTCCAGAAGTAAATCTGAAATGTTTTGCGCTCTCTATGACTTACCTTCATTTCTGTTCTTAAAAACTATTGTAAAAGAGCATCTGATTTATCATAGCAAAATGTACCTAAGTGATAGAAATAATGGCTTATTTACTGAAGAGCAAACACAGCCTGAAGGACTGAAGTGATTTCTGCTTGCTTTGTGAATTGCCAGTAGAAGTGGCCACGAAAAGTGAATCCAATTTTCGTGTTGGGTTAGATAGACTTGTGCAAGCTAACACCTAACAGCTCTGTCTGATAAAACTTGCCTACAGGGCCACAGTTCTCACAGTGGCCTCCTCCCCTGTGAACTGCGCACACCTCCGGAGGGAACCAGTGAACACACCCCCTCACATGCTCATTTTACACTGTCATTTCCCATGAGGGCTGCATTTCAAACCCAAACTCATTGGAAAGGTGAAAGCTCTTTAATTGCTGAGTATGTTCTGGAAGTGGCCTTTCTTTTAGGAACTGATGGTCTTAAGGTTAACATGGACATAATCCAAGGTGTTCTACATGATATTCCTTTTACATTTTAATGTTAGAAGATGGTATCAGAGAAAAGCACACTGAAGGGACTGATTTTCACTCTTAGTTAAGGTCTTTTGCAGCACCCAAGCAAGGGAAAGAGTTCTCTGAGCGCATGTAAATTACGCTCATGCTCATTTAAAGCCTGTGTAAATGCAAATCACACCCTACGTATGAGAATATTGGCATTAAAATTATATTTTCATTCATATGACTACTTTTATTGGCATATGTCTTCACACTCAGGCACAGTTAGGTGCTTCGTTTAAATGATGATGAAATACAGTGCTTGTTCTCTGATTGCATCCCATCTTTTCTTTCCAGCGCATGATTGCCAACACTGTCAGGACGGTGAAATTCTGCCGAAGCCAATCTTTCAGTAAGTGTATTACAACATCTGCACAGTCAGCAGTATCATCAGTAGCTATAGTAATTACAACTAATTCTGCGTGTACCGGAATTCAGGAGCCTGGTTTCCAGTGATTCTTCCATGTTTGGATCCTTTGATGTTTCACAGGGTGAAGTATCCTTTGGGAAGCTCCAATAAGCCCCTTCTCCTCCATTGCTTTTCCAGGCATGTGAAGGAGCTAAATATCTGCGAGGTCTTTACACATCTGTCAGATTAGAATTAGTTGAGATTAGCCCCTGAGTTCAGAAGTGGTTGCAATAAAGCTAGCAGACACCAGCACACAGATACATGCAAGATACTTCCTTGGATAAACCCTGGTTTTGTAGGAAACCAGGCCGGAAGCATGACGTTTATAAATGCCATAACTGCATGAGGTGATGAACTTAAAACCTGTTTGTCAGTATAATTACCTGAACTTGAGGCCACATGAGATGACAGAGCTGCCCAATGAAACAGGTTTGCTCTCTGGGTCTCAGCCCATCTAGGTGCACTGTCAGTCCCAGTCACACTGGCATTTCCGCAGCGCTTCATTCATTTTGTCTCACAGCAGCTTTATTCTTTCTCCAAGAAGAAAATAAGTAACATAAACTGATATATTTTTATAAAGATAGTTTCTTTACATCTAGGTCAAAGCTTAACCCTGGGAGATCAAATTAAGTGAGCTTTTTTTTTCCTCCCACCATCAAGGTTTTTCTGGCTATGTATCTTTTAATTTTTATATATTAAACACTAGTGGAACCTCCACATATTTACAAATGGCAGGGAGTTTCACTGTACGTGATATAACAAAATATCAGGATATGGATGCACTGCATTTAAGTTCCATGCTTTTTTCATGTGTGAGTGCATATTTTTATACAGTATATAGATGTTTCAGTATCTGTCTTTTAGAGAAGTTTAAGTTACCTTAACAGATATTTCATTAAAATGTAAGCTATTCACTCTGAGGCTGAAGATGCTCACATTTTAACTCAGTGGTATTTTGTCATTGTTGTTGGAGTAGGTATAATGCAGTTATGTAAACAGGTAGTAAATTTTGAGGCTTGAATGGGGCAGCCACAGCATTACAAATGTTTAATACTGAGCTAGAAATTAGAACCTTTCATGCAAGGAGGCTTAAATCAATTATATAGTTTCGAATCTGTTGGAAAGCTGCTACTTCAAAAGCAAATGGGCAGCTTTAAGTCACACTAGTTAGCTGTATAATTTACAGCTATTGACTAGTAAGGTGATCTATAAAACACTAACCAAGGGCCACCAATTTGAGCAAATACAGCTAAGGATACCTGAGAGAAAGTTTATTTGTGAGAGTAGTAACCAGAAAGACTGGCAGTATGGAGGAACGATTTCAAAGAGAGTGATTTCTAAATGTTTTCTTTTTAACTCACCAGGATCTGGTGTTTCCTGTGACGGCTCGTAAGGCGTTATGCATTCTGTTCAGGCATTTGTTCATTTAAGTGTATCAATCCTACATCATTTCTCTTTCACCAGATCCCGACGCAGCCCTAACTAATAAGAACCATCAGGATGTTCGGAGCTATGTGCGGCAATTAAATGTGATTGACAACCAGAGAACGTTATCACAGATGTCTCACCGACTAGAACCGCGTCGAGCATAAACATTTGAAGCAATGATGAGAAATGATCTTTTATCCTGTCAAGGTCACTCGTTAAGAACTTCACTCTCTCTGCTACCGCACTGCCACTACAAAAATAAGCAAAAATGTATTCTAAGGTCTTAGGCAACGCACAATGTACCAGCCTGTCAGAGAACTTTGGCTGAGGAAGAATTTATGCACTGTGGCTGTATGGGTGGCCATGTTGTGAACTGTTAATTCGGATTAAGGTGTAACAAACGATTTCTCCTGTGGATAAAACCAGGAAAAAGATAGCATAGAATAGTTAGTGAAAAATGCACAAAGAGCTTCTAACAATTCTAAGGAAGGTAGTGATTTTCTCCCTAATCGAAAATCTGTATTTTATGATTTATTCTCCAGGTCAGGACCAAAACTGAACATGAATTTAGCTTGCCCAGCTACTGCTGACCTCAGTAGAAGATGTATGTAAGCATCTGATGAAAGAATATAGGTTCAAGAGAGGTCCAAGGTATAGTTCCATTCAGAGAAGACTCAGAAATATTTCCATCTGAAATACAACAGACACTAAGAAAAAATTCTGGTCTTAATTGTGCTGCCTACTACTGCAAGCAGCGTGGCCGTTTCAGAAAAGGGACAGGACTGAAAATATTTTGAATGATAAATAGATTAATCTATGTTTACATTTTACTTCTTTTTTTAAACGACCAATCAGATTTTTACAAAATTCCGCTACGATAGTAAGGGTGTTGAAATCAATAGCATAAAGGTAGCAAAGGACTGGTTCAAAAAGAGCACAATATGCACAAACAAATTTCAAGAGAATAATTTCCTGGACACTAAAACCTTAAACTTCAGCTATAATTAATTGTGGCTGGTTAACACTTATTTTCTGGTCTTAAGCATTTACAAGTATCTTAATTTTCAGGCAATTGTTTTGCACTTTCAATAGACTGTAAATAAATGTTAATTCATTATGTTCTGGAATATTTATTTATGTAATAGCTATTGTGCCAAAATAATTCGGTATTATTTATTTTGTTTAGCATGTTATGGGAGCGCAGCTTTTGTCTTTATACTTTGTGTGCATTTTACACATAGGAATTGTGTGCTGTACGTTTTCTGTAAATAACACGCAGTACCTTATTAAATGTAATGGCTGGAAAGGTTTAGTTGCTGGCCTCATTTGCACTTTCAGCTTCATTCCTGCATAAATACCGATGCTGTTTATTGACTGATAGAGCAAACCTTGCTTCTGATTTGCTGGGCCTCAAAACAACAGTTCTGCATCCGCTGGGGTGCGGGTGACCAGAGTAAAGCCAGTCACATCCACCCCTGCCACAGCAGATGACGGCCTTGCAGAGATGGAAGACTATGGTTTTATCTTTAGAGTTTCGAGGGAGGCTCCTAACCCTGCCATGTAAAGATAGAAAACATTTCACTCGGAAAGGTTTAAATGAAGAAGGGAGGTACTTCTCAGTTTAGCTGCCTGACTCATTTGCGCGGTCACTGGTGTGAACACTGCGAGTTGCCTGATCTTGGGCAGGATTTTACCTCAGGTTGAGCCCTCAGCTAATACAGCACTTCAGAGACCTCTGGCTTTGGTTACCTCGGGGAGGTCTGTCAGGTCCTGAGGGAAGAGGTGATCTGGCATGTACCCCTTCACCTCCGAAACCGTTGTGCGAGCTGAGTACCCCGCGGGACAGCTGTGTGACTGCGGGGCAAGCGCTGACGGTGGCCAAGGAAATGCCAAGGGAATGAGGCTCTTCCCGTGGCAGAAGGCTTCTCCTATTGTGTTCACACCAACTCTGCGCTGCAAAGCTGCATGTCGGAAAACTGATTAAGCTTGAAATTACAAGTTGCAACTATTATCTCATAATTAAGCTTCTGAGATGACCTCATCGATACAGTCTGCGTTTTGCCTCAGATACAGAGTATACTTTTCTTGGCGTTGCCGAGGATTGTGTGAAGTCGGTACACACGTAAAGATTTCAATTTTTATCTATAAAAATAATTACGACCTCTTAGTCAAAACATAAATTCTGCAGAAGCTGAGAGTCACCAGGGAAATGCTGACACATAGAACCACTATCTGCTCAGTACCTGTATTCTGCAAAGGAAAGAATTACACAGTTAAGAAATATTCTGCAGCATGATGAAATAATTTATTTTAACTTTGCTGTCTGATGAGAAGTTCAAGATGATTCAGAGGAAAACCAGCTAATGCTGGCGAGACAAATTTGTGTCCTATTATTTCAAGTGAGAAATATTTCTTATTTCCATTTCTACTGCTCTGTGAATACACTTCATACGGCTTTTTTCAGATAAAGAATCTTCCCAGAAGCGAAGTATGCAGTAGAACAAACTACAGGGACACAATTAATTCAAAAGATGTTTTAATCTTTACAATCAATTTATAACATTTTTGAGTTTATGATTTTATTTTTTTCCAGATTTCTTCCTATTGTTTGGACTTCCATTTATTTCTATGTTAACTGGTTTATAAAGCTGCCAAGTTTCAGCTTGGCTCTGCACATAGACTGATTCTTCATCCATTTAGTATGTTTTTATCCCCTTAGTTTATTCTTTTATTGCTTAGAAGCCCTAACTGTTTTACTTACTTGTTGCCAAACAGTCTCTGTTATGTAGATAAAGCCCAGTGATACAAATAGAGGTTTTATGGCACATCCGTATCAGTGAATGAGTACAGTTTACCTACTCAATGAAACCAGTATGTCATTTTTTAATTTTCTAATAAAGGGTGCTGTATAAATAAAAAGAGTTGCTATCTCTGTATCTAACAAACACAAGTGGCTCAGATAGTTGCTATGGTGCTGATTACAGTCTACATACCTAGAGATTAAATGAATAAAACTACCTTTTGGCTCTGGGATCCATACTGGGCTTCTCTTGCTCCCCATGTTGACTGTACAGCAGGGAAGCAGCTGTTGATGTGTTGCTCTTGCTGTATGTAGTTTAGGCGACTGTTGCAATAGTGTGAAGAATGACTAGAACTCAGGAAACATCACAATGTCGAAATGCCCGTACTGTCTTCACCCTCTGCTTGCAGCTGTGAGTCACAGAGTGATCCTGCTTCGGTGGAGAGACACCCCTTAACTGCTGACCCTCGGGGCCCGTCTGCAAGCTGTGCCAGCCCCCTCCTTATTTCTACGCTTCAGATTGAAAAAATACAAACCTGTTCAAAATGACGATTATGCCTGAGGGTCACAGGTTGTATGATGCCAACATGGCTGGTCCATACTTGCCCTCCTGCCTCAGAGCCCCAGGCCTGTGTTATTCAGGGGCAGAGTCCTAGCTGGAGTTTTCTGATGCAAGGTGACCGGGAAACAGTGTCCACGATAAACATCCCCCACCAGGGACCAGTGAGGCTGCAGACCCCACGGAGCCAGGAAGGAGACCCGCTGGGCTTTTTGGGGAAAGTTCTGCATTACAGGGTTCCCCTGTGGACAGAGCTTTGTGCCGAAGCAGCAGTGCAGCACACAAACACCTCTACTTATGGCCGCAAAGCCTGAGGAGTTACAGGGCACCGCTTCCCCCTCCCCTGGCACGTTTCCCTGCTGTTGCTTTGTTAGGATTTGCTGGTTTTGATGACCAGGCCAGGGCTGGCCACAGCTAGAGAGAGCCAGGGAACAAAGGTTAAATCTCGGGATGCTGAATCCTGCACACCAGGATGCTACAACTGTTCAGTGAAGACGGGATCCAAAATATTTTCCCCAGACATCTTGTTCAAACTGATCAGCTACAAAGACATGGTAGTGCCAGATAAAAAGAGTTCAAATGTATTTGCAGGACTCTGCAACCCAGGGTTTGGGTTTTTGCCTCCTAAGGAAAACGCTGTGAAGGCGTACAACCTCTGCACACCAGGTACAAAGAGACAGATAGAGACAAAGAAAATCTCTCTTTTCAAAAAGATGCTGGCAAAACAACCTTTTAAGTGCAAGAAGTTTAAATATAATTTAGGAATCTTACAAAATAAGTTAGAGATAAATCAAAAGGTTTAACCTGCAGGGGTATCAAAAGAGATAATGAATTTTGCTTTTTAAAAAAATAAATTTAACAAAATGTAAAAATGTGATGGCAGAAAATTATAAGTCTAAATTGTTAACATAGCTTCTTAGTAAGGTCAACTGCATAATGTACAGTACTTTAACCTCTTCCAGCAATTTTTAAACACCAAGCAGCTTAAATAGACTACATCTGAATTCAGTGGTATTTCTTCTGGGAGCTCTGAATGCAAATCAAGAGGTAATAGTGGAAGAAAATTAAAAGATGTGCTATTCTCATTTCGCTTTTTTGTACTGATAATAAGGAAAGCAGCGTAGAGAGTGATATGGCAAAGTGAACCTCTAACTTGAATAGCTTTTCTTTCACTTCTAATCTGAAATGCATTACACCCTGCCTTTTCAAATAATCATCACGTTCTTTACTGTAGCCTGCATTAAAAGTTTAGCAGGCGCAAGCAGCAGCTGTCACCAGAGGTCAAGGTATTAGCAATCAAAGAAAATAATGACCGGATTAAAAAGTTATCATTAAAATTACTAAACGAGAAACTTTTACGGCAGCTTATCTTCGCCTTGAGCACAAACAGCCAGTGAAGCGCTGCCTCCAGGACAGTAGCTGTGCCCAGGGAACTCCTGCCACCCTCGGCCGTCTCCCCACAGCAGCACCGTGGGGCTGGCTGGCCGGCCCTCGATGGGGGGCACAGCACAGCCACCCTCAGTGGCCAGAGGGGACTCTCACCTCTCTGCCTCCCTCTGGAACAGGCACTGCTGCCCCAAAACCAGCTCCTGCAGGACTGGGAGCTCCCCAGCATGACTAAAACTTGACCTCCAGATTCTCACCATGGTGAAAGGCTGGGGTCAGCTGCTGCAGGAGCACCCTCACCTGCCCGGCATCCAGCAACGTGTGAGGCTGGCTCTTACTTCATCTCCCCCAAGCACTCCTTTAGGAATAAAGTACAGCTGTCATGGAGTGCCCAACTAAGGAAATAGCTTGTAAAATCACAAAGGAGAGCAATCCAACTGCGGTCCTGGTGGTTTGTGACTCAAGTGATAGGGGGACTACTGTAAAAAGGACCAATGTTATAATTGAAAGGGCAAAAAAGAGCACAGACAGCTACAAAATCTGCCATTTACATCTAACTGCTGAAGGATATTTCACAAAGGGTTCTTTTTTAATACGTTTGGCACTCAAAGGTAATTTCTGAATTCAAAATAAACTCAGAAAACTACATGAAAATGCATAAAGAACGCATAATTACTGACGCAAATTGGAATATTTTTCTTGGAAACTCCATGTAATAAAAATGTGACACACAGGGGTACTGGTAAGAGACTGACCTTTATTTCCTGGCCCTAATCCATTTGGGTCAGAACGACAAAAAGCAAAGCCTTTGTCACATGGCAGGGGTCAGCCAGTCGTGTTT